CCTGTAAAAAGAGGATGCAAATCACTGCTTTGCAGAATGTTATTAATTCATCCTTTATATTAATATATATTGAACATTTACTCTTTGCCAGATTTGGGGCCGGTTGCCTCGTGAACATTTACTTCTCACAATTCTGTGAACTAGGTGATATTATTTTTATATTATTGATGAGGCTTAGAGAGTCTAAGAAACTGGGTAAGTTCAAAAGCCAAGATTCTAGTCAAGGTCTTTCTGACTTTAACTGAGCTTGTAACCACTATGCTTTGTATTTGTTTTAATCGTACTTACCCATTTCTGCTAATATGTCAGTTTCACTGTCCTTAAGGTCAAATAATCTTCCAATACACAAACACAGAGGAAACTAATCTTTTGAAAAAGAAGAGCTGTATTTTTTAATACAGATGCTCTTCTTATCTGGAAACCAGAATTACTTTGGGAATTTATTCTTCTATACAAGTTTTGCAAACCAGGTGGTGTTACGAGATTCCTTGTTATTAGCATGGTTGAACTGGTAATAGCAGTGACGAGGACTGTTGGGGTGGTGAACCTTAAGGCACCTTTATGCATAATATAAAGACAGGATAATAGTATGCAAATTTTAGGAACTGTTGCATGCTTCCAGCTCACCATTTCTGCAGGTTTTCTCTGGAGCTGGGACCACAGTCTATTGCTACGTGCCTTGCTGTTCTTATATAAGTATCTAATTACTTGGATTGACTTTGTGAAGACTGCATCATTTTCTTTATGATTTAGGAATTTTCCCTCATATTTTAGATACCAGATTTTATTCTTTAATTGCTATAGAGGCTGATGTAGTAAGTTTTTCATTTCTTTAATAAGTCATTTTGAAAGCTACTAAGTAACTCACCATGGAAACATGGTGTAAACAAGCTTGTTCTTTGCCTAATAAAATCTGTTGTTTCATATTATTCCTTTGGTCCTTGAGATTTGCTCTAGGAAGTAGGCTGTTCAGCCGTGACTCAGGAGCACGTTGTTCGGTTTCTCAGTGGCTGAGTGACTTTATTGTTGGAGTTGCGTCCTGCTGTGCTTGGGTCAGATGTATAGACATTAGTATGAACAGGGCTGTAGGTTACTATGTCTTACTAATGTAGCACACTACCCCAGGCACACACTACCTTTAGGAAAATCGTCTCAATCATCATTATTGAATCCATGAATAAGTGAAGAAATGGGAGTTATTTTAGTTTTCTACTCTCATTTCTGCCCCATTTCTACACTTATTCCCCTGCCTGCCTACCACACACGCACACACACACAGCATTTGGTGATTATGTTCTTTGACTTGTTTAATGTTTGTGGAATCCAGTTCTTTTTTTCCCCAAATCCTCTGATACTGTTTTGGGTTAAGCCTTCATATTTTTTATTTGAACAATTGAAGTACTCCTTTAACGAAATTCCCTCTCTCCAGTGTTACCTGTCTCCAATAAACTGTCCTCGGTAGCACCCAAATAATTTTCCTAAAACATAGAACTAATACCAGCTTAAAATTATTCATTGTCTCATTGTTCAGAAAGACCCTTTGCTTTTTCTTACCTCTCTTCTAGTTTGTCTCACTTCCATTGTCCTCACCCTTTGAATTCTGTGCTTTGCACCACTTGAAAAAATGACAAATCTCAGAATGCTTTGTACGTTCTTTGCCTTCCTGTGCCTTCATGCACTGATGCTCTATGCCAGTAACCCTGTTCTGCACTTCATCTGGTGAGCTCCACTTTCTCCTTCTGTGACACTCCTTCCCTGACAGAACTGTCCCTCCACAAGCACACACCAGTCTGAGTTAAGAGCTTCTTCAGTGGACTTCCATAAGATCCTGTGCTCACTTCCGTTGTTGCAAAGATTAGATTAAGGTGGGCAGCTCGCAGGCAAGTACTATGTTGTAGTACTCAATGTATCACAGAGCCAGATATATAGAAAGTGCTCAAGAAAACTTTCTTGATGAAGCCCATAAAGGGACTTAATGAAAAATAGAAAGATTTTGTGTTAAGATTCCCATGAAGCCCATGCCTCAGTCAGGCTTTAAGGCTTATAGACCAAAATGTCTGACTCCTGTCAGCCGGTACCGGGCATGATGGTGAAGCAGCCATCAGTTGATGTCATTTGCTCTCTTTCACTTGCACTGACATTTTCATTTAAATTGACTCTTTCTCAGCACTCCTCAGTACCCCTCTGTGACAGAAATTTCTTGTGGCTTATTCAATATTCATTCTTCTCTTCCTACTTGTGGAGTCAAGGAAAAGAAAAACCCCACAAGCCCCCCGTTTTCTCATCCTTCTTGTTGCTATGGGAGACAATATGCCATAATTCTGTCCAATGAAATATAAACAGAAATCTGATGGAATTTCTGGGAAAAGTCGGCTTTCTTGATAAAGATGTTGTCTTACCTTCCTTCTGGCCCTTTCTTTCCTCCTCATTCCTGGGAGGTACACATGATGGCTGGAACTGGAGCAGCCACCTTGAAAGGCCTCGAATATTGCTGAGATGTTAGCCATGCCATCCTTGAACTTTCAAATCAATATCAGGAATATCCTTACCTGGACTTCTCATTATATAAGAAAAATTCACCATATTGTGCTTAAGCCACTGTTATTTGAGCTTTCAATTGTATCAACTGACTCAGTTTCCCAACTGATACTTCTTAGAGTTGAAATAGATGCATTAGAAATCAGTGGTGTAAATTTGTCACCTCTCTACCTATATTTTGTATCTGTTAACTCAACACCTATATATTTAGACCTACTGTCATCAAGTATGACCATAGACACTAAAATATAAGGACTAGAACACTATTCCT